TACTAATGCGTAGTCGGATTCGACGGGAGTGCTCCAGTACCATCGGCATTCTTGAATGCAGCCCCGCCATTTGTGGCTTATCGCGATGTGGTCGATCTGCATCCGTCTATGACTCGAGGAGGGTGGACGCCAAGTGGCGTACTGGCAGTTGGAGCGTCTGAAGTTCGTACTGGCGAAGAACAGGCGGTGATCGGAACATAAAGCTAACAGCCGCTCCCCGTTTTCCGAGCGACAGGAATCTAGTCAGAAAGGACCTCCCAGGTGCGCCTCACTTGAAGTCAACCGGTCCACTCTAGCATTCATATCTCCTGCAAAAATCACGATATCAGCCCGGGTAGCTTTACGCAAGAGTTCGTGTAGATTGTGGTAAAATTCATCTTTGACTGTCTTTGGGCTGCAGTCCGTTGGGGCGTACGCCGAAACGACAAACAAATTTCGTCTATCGTGGCGACGGCTGCTTATTTTGCACAAACCTCTGGGTCTCACTGCGCATAACTTACTGTAGACTGCGATCCAGTTCAGGAGGGCGGCTTCAGCTCTCTGACTGAGAGCCACACCGACGCCAGCGAGACCGGAAGCCGCAGCCTCAGGGTCCCCAGAGAGGCGTAAGTGAAACTTCGCAGATTGGTTTGATGGGGACTTCAGTCGGTTAACAGAGCTGGAGTCTTGAATGCGAGTCTCTTGGATGCAACACACATCGACGGCTAGGGTTTCGAGAGTACGAGCTAAACACACCTGTTGTCCTATACGCATCACAGTACGCACATTAAACAAGGTTAGTATGAAAGGACATCGAGGGCGGAGGAGGATTCGGTGAGAATAGGATGCTGGTCGAGTTAGGACAAGAGCGAACGGCGGCAGAATTTCCGTTTGAGGCATTACTGTTAATACGATTGTCTGAAGCACCCGAGAGAGAGATGGAGGAGTTTTGGGGGAGTAGAGATGAGCTGGGGGAAGGCTGGGAGAATAAGCTGTGTGGAATGTTTTTCGCAGGATGAAAAAGTATCAGAGTACCAAATCGTAAGAGAAAGACGGTTCATGGTTGTATGCGTTGTGGGTTATTGTACTACTAGGGCGCTCG